CCCATCTTCCGGTCTTCTGAATCTTTTCCATCTCTCGTAGGCGATTGGAAACAGCTTGTTGACTAACGCTCAATTGCTCTGCGAGTTGTTTTTGTGTTTGTGAATCATCTTCGTCCAACAATGCTTGCAATTCCACATCTTCGTACCTTTTTGGCGGTTTTCCGTGTTCCTTGTCTGCAACATCGAAGTCACCACTTTTAAAACGCCGAAATCATCGTTCACACGTATCTTGCGATGGAGCATGTTCACCATAAGCTTCTCGAAGTAATCGGTATGATTCAGCAGCAGTTTTTTTCAAATGAAAACAAAAAATTAATGCTGTCCGCGAATGCTCTTTGTTTGGTATAAATTTCGACATATCAAACACACCAACACAACACTATGCAAACATTTTTTCAATTTATCACTCGTGCGCGTCTGACACTTGTTGATGGCACTTCAAAATGGCATAACAGTCAAATCTTTATACCACACTGCATTGATGCGCCATCTGTTTTCTCAAATCCGCATTTCATACATGTACACCTGGTATGTATAATATTTTAATAATGTAACTAAAAAAAGATTTGATATTTCACAGGAAGTAGTTATATTACTGTTCTACCGCCTATTCCTACCGTGGGTATGACCAAAAACGATCTACCAAAGCTCATGGAGCAGGCATATAAAATTATGAATAAAACTTTTGTGGAATCGTCGACGAAGTGCCTCGAGGAACAAATACAAAGTTTGAAGTGTGAATGATAGGAGTAACATAAAACGATTAGTGTAATTACGAGTAAATCGTGATACAAATTCTAATCGATAGGAGAAATTGTGACTAATTTACGGATTGCAAATTCGCAAAGATTGCACATGTGATTGACTTTTTTGTGTTATTAATTGTTGTGGACGCATGTAATTTCTGCCAAATAGAATACAAAGTCATAATGATGTCTCATATTTCATTTACCGCTTATAAGTAAACTTAGAGACGTCCTTAAGATATCTTTTCGACTTCTGTGTTCTATCTGGATGTGTCATAACATACACAATATATGTATCAGCTGAGGAAGCTTCTTTAATTCAGTAAGACTCTTTAAATCTTTACACACACACA